TAGCCGCCCTGGTCATTGCCTGTCGATCTGACACAATTTTAATCAACCGAAATATAAATCTGTTCACGATTCAAATACACATTTGATTATATCAAATCAATATTTATACAGAATTCATCAAAATATGTCGAAAATAAAATAGAGTTGATGTATTTTTAGTCAGGCACATTGTGTGGTTCCGTAAGGTCCTCGGTGGAAACCGGAAACCTAGGATAGTGACGGACGTTTGTTTTGCTACAGCTAACAGGTAGAATCTTCATCTTTATTATATATGAACACGGTCATGAGGTGTTCCGTGTATTTACTTGGAGTTATACGATTATAACTTTACATCGAAATAACTTTATTCACACTAACTGTTCGTTCGATGCTGACGAAACGTTTGTTTACATCAGTGGCCGCCGCGAGCTTTGCCTGTCGAGCTGACACCACGTGAATCGGCCAAAACACACACGTTATTTACACTTTGGATGATATCTTGATGATGGGTGAAATAAATAAAGTATAGTTAAAAATACACCAAGCTGTGGCATAAATATAATACTAATGTTTTCAGTCAGGCATATCGTGTGGGTGCATAGCGAGAGGGTCCTTGAGCGGTAAAAGCTAAGGCTAGTAACCGATGTTTGTTTTGCTACAGCTAGCAGGTAAAACCTCTTATTTTATTCTAACATCTATAAGAAATGAGCATCTCCCTTCAGGGATTCGTAGATTATATGACTCCATCTTCGCACTATAATGATTTAATTCGCACTAACTTCCTGTTTAATGCCGCTAAAACCTTTGTTTACATCCGTGTCAGAGCGGTAATTCAAGTGGCCTAGCTAAACGCGCTAGCACCGCCGATGTTAAACGTGGTTTGTTGTGGATGTGATGTTCAACGTTTCTAACGCCACAGATGTTAATAAACCGGGAGGTTGTTACTGGAGGGTGAGATTCAACCTCAGTGACAGGAGGGCGCTCGCGTTAGCATGCTAAGTAAGGTATCCGGGCTAGGTGGCTAACGAGCCGTGTCTGCGACGGAACTGTTGCGTGCGTGTGCGTTTGACTGTTTCCAACAGTGGAACCTCGTTAAAGAGTTGCTTTCATTTATCCATCATTACAAACATAACACCTCTCAGGCATGTGAGGAGGGTTCGCTGTCATTTACTGAAAAGATTTGAAATGTTTCCACATTTTTCATGATAGTTTTATTTCTTTAGAACGTTTGGTTTTACATTTAACTCCAAAACCCCAATACTCAATTTAACTTTGAACTTTTGTATGAACAGTTGAATGTTGTGATGTGCACTGGCAGTCGTGTTGGTAGTTTGGTGTCTGTCCTGATGTCAGTGTAAGTTTGTGTTGCTGTGGTGTTTTATTACGAGTTAGCCACATGATTGCCTCAGCTAGTAACAGCTCTCATGTTTGCAGTTTTGTGTGGATAAATGTGAAAGGAAATATCATTTAATAATAACATTTGGTTCGTAAATGCAACAATGAGATTGTATTTATATGAAGAAGATTAACTTTCTTTTATTTTCTACTTTTCATCTCTCTTCAGTATGCCTGCTGAACGTAAGCGCTCAGTAAACATGGATGAAAAAGATGTTTGCACCTTCACTAACAAGGAGAAGGAGAAGGACAGAGATGGTGAGAGGCGACCGGCGTCTGCCCGAGACAAAGCAAAAGACGAGGCCAAAATGAGTGGTAAAAAAGATGGTGGCAAGGAGGAGAAGAGGAAGCGGCTAGAAGAGGAAAAGAAGAAGAAGGAGGAGAAGGAGCGAAGAAAGAAAGAGGAGGAAAAACAGAAAGCTGAGGAGGAACAGAAGAAGAAGGAGGAGGAAGAGAAGAGACAGCAGGAGGAGCAGGAGAGGAAACTCCAAGAGGAGGAGGCCAAGAGACAACGTGAGGAGGAGGCGGCTCTCCTGAAGTAAGTGATGATATCCCTCATTTCCTGATAGAATTGTTATAAAGATTCATCTAATGTTGTGAGATGTCAGCTTATATTTCATTCATCAAGTCTGTGTAAATATTACATGACCCTCAGGAAAGCCAAACCCGACACATGTAATCACCCTTTAAAAATATTTCTTGCTTTAGTTATTTATCTTATTCAATTTTACTGTACTTCTGCAGGGAAAAGGAGGAGGGGCATCAGCTGCACCAGGAGGCCTGGGAGCGCCATCACTGCAGAAAGGAACTCCGCAGCAAGAACCAAAACGCTCAAGAGGGTCGGCCTGAAGAGGCCTTTTTCAGCCGCCTGGACTCCAGCCTTAAAAAGAACACGGCCTTCGTCAAGAAGCTTCGCACACTTACCGAACAGCAGCGCGATTCACTCTCCAATGACTTTGGCTCCCTGAACCTCAGCAAGTACATCGGCGAGGCTGTGAGCTCTGTCGTGGAGGCCAAGCTGAAGATCTCTGATGTCGGCTGCGCTGTCCATCTGTGTTCCCTCTTCCACCTGCGCTACTCTGAGTTTGCTCCATTGCTGTTACAGGCCTGGAAGAAGCACTTCGAAGCAAGGAAGGAGGAAAAGGCGCCCAATGTGAGCAAGCTGCGCACAGATCTGCGCTTTATTGCAGAGCTCACCATCGTCGGCCTCTTCACGGACAAAGAGGGTCTGTCGCTCATTTATGAGCAGCTGAAGAACATCATCGGGACCGACCGGGAGACGCACACTCATGTTTCGGTGGTCATCAGTTTCTGTAAGCACTGTGGGGATGACATCGCTGGTCTGATGTCCCGCAAGGTGAAAATTGCTGCTGAGAAGTTCGGCTTGTCCTTCCCTCCAAGCGAGATAATCAACACAGAGAAGCAGCAGCCCTTCCAGAACCTTCTGCGTGAGTACTTCACGTCACTCACCAAACACCTGAAGAAGGACCACCGGGAGCTGCAGAACATTGAGAGGCAGAACAGGTGAGTGTTCTCTGTCTCCCAGCCACTTTTTGTTAGCTCACCATGATACGACCTCTTAACGCTTCATTCTCTTCAGGCGTATCCTACATTCCAAAGGGGAGCTGAGTGAGGACAGGCACAAGCAGTATGAAGAGTTTGCCACTTCCTACCAGAAGCTGCTGGCCAACACTCAGTCCCTGGCTGACCTCCTCGATGAGAACATGCCAGATCTGCCTCAGGACAAGACCGTGCAGGAGGGTGTGTGTCTTTTCTAGAAGTGTAATTTATGCGAAAGACTCTTTAATGGATGTAAGATGTTGACGTAAAAATGTGTCTTAAATAGGGTGAACACGCGTGTGTAATTATGTCATGTATAATGTCTCATGCAGAACACGGTCCTGGCATTGATATCTTCACCCCTGGTAAGCCTGGAGAGTATGACCTGGAAGGAGGGATCTGGGAAGATGAAGACGCTCGTAACTTCTATGAGAACATGGTGGACCTGAAGGCCTTCGTCCCTGCCATCCTCTTCAAGGACAACGAGAAGAGCAACCAGGGCAAAGAAAAAGATGACGCCAAAGGTAAAAGTAACGAATCGACATAAGCAGAAAGAGACTCACTCAGTTTTATCCCGACTTCGGCCTGACCTGCTGTTTGTGTCTGGTTCAGATGGGAAAGAAGGGAAGGACACGACCAGCACTACAGAGGAGCTGGAGCTGGAGCTGGAGGCTCTGGACATCACAGACGAACCTCTTGAACTGGAGGGAGCAGACGAGGTGGAAAATGAGGAGCTGACCAAAAAACTGCTGGATGAGCAAGGTAAGAGAGAGAAAATCACCTCCATATGTCGT